CTCATGTAGAACTGATTCTTTCTTATTTATTTTATTTCGATTGCATTCTTTTCGACCATCTCCCTTGTCATTAGACCTTTGTATTTCATCATGCAATCTTCTAACATCGAAATGTCTAAGATGACTAACTTTTGTAAACTTTGACTTTCTTTGTTTGACCCACTCTTGTGCATAAGTTCTCGCTTTGATGACTTTATTTCGATTGACATAGTCTCAGCTTGCGTTTTGTTCTTAAACATCTCCAATTCCTTCAACGGCATGACATAGTCTCAGTTTGCATTTTGTTCTTAAACATCTCCATTTCCTTCAACAACATGAATTTCGTAGTACATTATCTTAACTCGTCCAAATTAATAGTCGATATCACGCATAGATCACCCGCATCACCCGCAAAGAGTCATGCTCGGCCTTAGTGCCGTGACCATGTGGTATAGAGCTATATTAAAATGAGTGAGATGGTGAGGCCGACTTGTTGCAAACTATGTCCCAAAACACAATGTTGTTTTCTATAGAGATAAACGAGTAAAGCAATTCAAATATGCTCCCTTCAAAGTGGTGGGGAAGACTCTAGACATGTATGTGTCTTCGGTAGTGTACAGGTTAACCTAAGTAACATAAACAATAATGTGCTCATTCAAGTATGTACTTCCATCATATTTATCCAGCGTAAGGGACTTCCAATTAGTTGAGAGTTTCCATGATTCCATCGACAAAGAGAGTTTCCATCATATTTATGGGATTTTACTATGAGTCTGATCCATATGGTTAATCGCCTTAATCAATTTGCTTAATATTTTATTTGTGCGTTTTAACCATTAACTTAATTTAATCACAAGTACTCCTATTGTTATGTCCTTGTCGACATGATATCATATTTTCCTAGTAAATGTGGGTTAACATCATTTTAGGTTGGGTAAATGAGATCATATCGCGTTTATGTAATACAAAACCAAAATTGATTCAATAATAAAGAAAAAACTCTAGTTTTCACTCTGAGCTAGTTTCGCTAGTTTCTCTATTTACCTATTGCATTATTTATTTATTTATTTATATTTATCCCATGTATTACCATCTTTGTTATTTTTTGTTTTGTTTCTTTACGAGTGTGTTTGTTTTTTTAAGATATTTTGTATATGTAGAAAAAAAAAGTTATAAATTATATTATGCTTAAATTTATAATAAATATTTTTTTCAAAATGTAAATTGTATTTTCAATTTATAATGTTCAGTTTAGATAATGAAGTGTGGTTATTTATTATAGATTATTTTAACTAAGTTTAAAGATTATATATATTTTTATTAACTCCTAAACTTAAGTCTGAAATTAAAATTAATCTGCTCAAATTTTGATATATTTTATTTCCTAAATTTTAATAATAAATAAATATATTGTTTTTAATTCAATTGTGTTAAATTTTCTTAACACATAAAAACACTTTTAGATCGACTTTTGAAGTGTTTACACTTTTTAACATATTTTAGTTTAAATTAACAAACCCAAAAAAATCAATGTATAGTTTAAAAATATATATTTATTATAAATTTAAGCATAAATACTATAAAAAAAATTATGAAATGGTTATATAACTTGTAAAAATATTCAATATATGATCGATCCATTCTCCAATATTGCCGTGATAATATGAGTACGTATGTCTCCATCATAACTCTTGTTAGCTCCATAGTTTGAAGACCACTAAACTCTTGTTCTTCAGCTTTGAAGAACACTTCTCACATTATCACTCAAAAACATAATCCCAGGATGTTCTTCAAACCCACCAGAAAGTTATAAAATTCTCTCATTAATTAAGTTATTAAATATCACAACTACTGTTTTCTAAATCCACTTTGATAGCAAAAACGCCTTTGGTTTTGGATTTGCTAGCCTCTTGCCAAGATATGGCATTGTCAAGGGTTTTCCTTCATGGACTATTATTCTCAAAGTTTCAATTAAAAAAACTTTAATTTACTTATATCCTTTTAATTTATTTTTCATATATTGATTTTGAAGATTTTAAGATAATTTATTTTCTAATATATAATAAATCGTATTTTATTTTAAAAAATATATAATAAAATATGTTTTATATTTTTAAGAACTACTAATGATAATATGTTAAAATTATATATGGCATCGATTGTTATTTTTTTTTATACTTTTAAACTAATATAACTTGAATTTATTTATCGTACATTAATATATTTGTTCATAAATCATTATTTATATATAAAATCACATAAATATATAACTATAAAGTAAAATCTACATACAATTATTTTTTAATAATATTTTATAAATAAAAAATTAGTTTCATTTGAAAAATATAAAAATATTCTTGTGGTATATTAAAAATAAAACAAAATTATATTATTATCTTATTTGTAAAATATTAAATATATTACTTTGCTGAATTATGCACTTAGAATAAATCTAACTGTTATAATTAATATTTTATACTTTTAGTACTGAATTAGTTGTGTTTAATTATATGAAAAAAAAAACTATAAAATGTCAAGGATTTTAGTGTAATAAAATTTTACAAAAAAACTAAAATAGGATAAGATATTATTTGCATGAAATCAAAACATATTTAAACCTACTGTTTTATGTTATGTTTATTTGTGAAAGGATAGAAAAGGAAACAATAAAACTAATAATATTTTTTATATTAAATATACTATAATTATTAGTTCTAAAAGTATAAAACATATTTCATTATTTTTTTAGAGATGGAATATTTGTTCGTGATATATTAAAAAAATTATTTTATATTGATTTATATTATAATATGGAAAGTAATACTCAGAAAAATAAAATATAACTATTTTAAATAAAAAAAATATTAAAATTAAATTATTGAATTAAAAATCTAAACTAACATATATCTAATTACTTTATTTAAGTTAATTAATGAATATATTATTTGATTAAATCATGTGCCTAAAAATATAATTATCTTAGTTAATATTTTTCTTTTTTCAGCATTAAAATAACTAGAAAGAAGTTAATTATACAAATTTAAAAAATAATATTAAAAAAAGTTGAAGATTTAAATTTTTTTAAACAAGAACTAAAATAGGATAAAATTATATTTTACAGGGATTAAATAATATATTTAAATCTTTAAAAATTTATTGAAAATTAAACTCTTCTATATTTTTTTTTTCTTGTATTTATTTATCCAAAAAAAAGTATACAAGATGTTGCTATTTTTTTACACAACTTTTAAACTTGTGAAATTCTTATTTATTTTCATAGGCCTCTCAGTGAAATTCATTAAAGTAATTTTTTTACAATCAAACTTATTATCACAAAACTTTTTATGATAATTTTTTTTGAATAAAATACTTAATTAAGTTGTTTATTCAGCCACACCCTGTAAAGTTTTCCAAAATCCTTGTTGCCACTAACTCTTATTAAAACAATTTTACTTTCTTTATAAATGTTGTGTAAAATGGTGTTAAATAAATTATTTTTTTTTAAGTTTTGTTTTGGTGCTTGAGTCTCTTGAGTGATAACACACAGTAACTAGTTCCTATATGAGTCTACCTCGTTGTTGTTATATATATATATACACACACACACACGCGCTTGGAGTCGCCTAGACCTTGTAGTTGCTGCATGATCTTAAACTTTCTAGCATTGTATTGTACCTTAAAGTTGATGTAATCTTGATTTAGATGATGGTGTCAGAATTATGAAGAAGAACAGCTACATGAATATGACTGTATTAGTTCCAGGTTGCGTAATAATATTACAACTCATGCATGTATGCAATTTATTTCAGGGCACTGCATGAGAAAGAGGAGAGAAGAAAAGGAGGGTTAACTCGGAATCAGTTTTTCCTTACAGCATTTCTTTGCAGTTTTGCTTATTATGTTTTTCCTGGTTACTTGTTCCCTATGTTAACATCGATTTCGTGGATTTGCTGGATGTTTCCAACGTCCGTGATAGCACACCAGTTAGGTTCAGGCTTGCATGGTCTTGGAGTTGGTGCTGTTGGTTTTGACTGGTCAAGTATATGTTCATATCTTGGTAGCCCTTTGGCCAGTCCATGGTTCGCTACGGCTAATGTTGCTGCTGGTTTTGCCATTTTCATATATGTCATTGTGCCCATTGCTTATTCCGCAAACCTTTACAAGGCAAGAAGATTTCCAATATTTTCAGATGAACTATTCATGTCCAGTGGTCAAAAGTACAACATCTCAGCTATAATAGACTCCAACTTTCACCTTGACATGGAGGCTTATGAGCGCGAGGGCCCTCTTTATCTCAGCACCATGTTTGCTATGTCATNTCATTAAAGTAATTTTTTTACAATCAAACTTATTATCACAAAACTTTTTATGATAATTTTTTTTGAATAAAATACTTAATTAAGTTGTTTATTCAGCCACACCCTGTAAAGTTTTCCAAAATCCTTGTTGCCACTAACTCTTATTAAAACAATTTTACTTTCTTTATAAATGTTGTGTAAAATGGTGTTAAATAAATTATTTTTTTTTAAGTTTTGTTTTGGTGCTTGAGTCTCTTGAGTGATAACACACAGTAACTAGTTCCTATATGAGTCTACCTCGTTGTTGTTATATATATATATACACACACACACACGCGCTTGGAGTCGCCTAGACCTTGTAGTTGCTGCATGATCTTAAACTTTCTAGCATTGTATTGTACCTTAAAGTTGATGTAATCTTGATTTAGATGATGGTGTCAGAATTATGAAGAAGAACAGCTACATGAATATGACTGTATTAGTTCCAGGTTGCGTAATAATATTACAACTCATGCATGTATGCAATTTATTTCAGGGCACTGCATGAGAAAGAGGAGAGAAGAAAAGGAGGGTTAACTCGGAATCAGTTTTTCCTTACAGCATTTCTTTGCAGTTTTGCTTATTATGTTTTTCCTGGTTACTTGTTCCCTATGTTAACATCGATTTCGTGGATTTGCTGGATGTTTCCAACGTCCGTGATAGCACACCAGTTAGGTTCAGGCTTGCATGGTCTTGGAGTTGGTGCTGTTGGTTTTGACTGGTCAAGTATATGTTCATATCTTGGTAGCCCTTTGGCCAGTCCATGGTTCGCTACGGCTAATGTTGCTGCTGGTTTTGCCATTTTCATATATGTCATTGTGCCCATTGCTTATTCCGCAAACCTTTACAAGGCAAGAAGATTTCCAATATTTTCAGATGAACTATTCATGTCCAGTGGTCAAAAGTACAACATCTCAGCTATAATAGACTCCAACTTTCACCTTGACATGGAGGCTTATGAGCGCGAGGGCCCTCTTTATCTCAGCACCATGTTTGCTATGTCATATGGCATTGGTTTTGCTTGCCTTTCTGCAACTCTCGTTCATGTCTCACTCTTCCATGGAAGGTAATAAATCAAGCTATTTGTAGTTTCTACTGAAAGTTTTTAATCGTATGAACTAGAACTAATGTGTCGCTGTAGTTGAATTGTTGTCACTGCAGTGAAATATTGCGACTGAGTAAGTCTGCTTTCCAAGAGAATAAGATAGACATACACACAAAGATCATGAGAAAGAACTACAAACAAGTTCCTGAATGGTGGTTACTTTGCATTCTTCTGTTCAACATCGTGGCCACTATATCTGTATGTGAATATTTCAACAATGAACTCCAACTACCATGGTGGGGTGTGATGTTAGCTTGTGTTGTTGCCATATCATTTACTCTTCCCGTTGGAGTAATTAGAGCCACAACAAATCAGGTACACAAAGTTATAAAATTCTTGGCAATGGTAAAGTTAGTTGATATATAAAAATTTGTGTACAAGATTAAATTGTATACTAACAAAAACTATAATTTTCCTTGTCGTGAAGGCACCGGCTTTGAATATAATAACAGAATACATAATTGGATACGTCTACCCAGGATATCCTGTTGCCAGCATGTTGTTTAAAGTGTATGGTAATGTGAGCATGAAGCAGGCCATTTTCTTCTTACAAGATTTTAAGCTTGGCCATTACATGAAGATCCCTCCTAAAGAAATGTTCTTGGCACAGGTTTGCCCACTTACTCTCCCCTTATCAAAGTCTGAGGTACATGTTTGACACAATTTTGTCTTTCAAACTCATTATATAATCCCCTTACTTGCTTCTGTAGGTACTGGGCACCTTAATATCTGCAGTGGTGCATATACTAACAGCATGGTGGCTTATGAACACTGTTCCAAACATATGCGAACGAGAATTGCTTCCAGCAGGAAGTCCTTGGACTTGTCCCGGTGATCATGTGTTCTATGACGCGTCTGTGATATGGGGTATGATAGGGCCTCGTAGAATTTTCGGAGACCTTGGACACTACTCGGCTATTAACTGGTTTTTCTTGGCTGGAGCAATAGCTCCTTTCTTAGTCTGGGTAGCACACAAGGCCTTGCCTCAAAAACAATGGATCAGGCTTATCACTGTGCCTGTGCTCTTGGGTGCATTAGCTGACATGCCTCCAGCTACAGCAGTAAACTACAGCAGTTGGGTTGTTGTTGGGTTTGTCTCAGGGTTTGTTGTGTAACGTTACCATCGCGGTTGGTGGAGCCGACACAACTATGTCTTGTCTGGGGCACTTGATGCTGGTTTAGCCTTCATGGGGGTTTTGCTCTACTTGTGTTTGGGGATGGAAGGTATCAGCCTAAACTGGTGGGGCAGCGATCCAGATAGGTGCCCATTAGCTTCATGTCCAACTGCACCAGCTGTTGAATCCAAAGGCTGTCCTCTTTACTAAGCTTCCATGATAGAATCCTGTTCAACTGTTAATGCCGCCATGGCAGCTTCATCACCTGAAAAATGTTTATTTTTCCAACTAATAATAGTATCACGACATATTTTACATTTATTTCACACATAAAATTAATCATAAAAATTTAAATTTTTGTATTTTAAAAAAAAGAAAAAAAGTAAATAAAAATAATATTAAATAGATGTACAAATTTTAAGTGTGTCGAATAATTATTTTCTTTTTTTCAACTTTATATATAACACAAATCAAACTTTTATGACAGGCAAATTTTTACATTTAAACATTCTTTAATTTTTTTTCTTTTACAAAAAATTACTTTCTTTTTTTATAACTATTTATTGTTATAATATATGTACAAATTTAAGTAGGTGTCACTCTGTCGTTATTTATTATAGAACTAGTTAATGCGGACAAAATTATATATCGGATATCATAAAATGTAATCCATAGGATGTAGGGCTGGAAAAAATAACTTACCTATCAACTATACTATATTATAAAAAAACAAATTATCCATTTTTACTAAAAAGTTAAATATATTCTTTTATGGTTCCGTTTTAAAAAATTGAACTTATAAAGTTTTCACTTCAGTTAACTAATTGAAGTGTACTGTATATTTAAGAGGTCGACAAGATAGCTGTACTCTCAAATTTTAATATTGTATGTATGTTGTCTTGTCTCTCACACCTTTGAGTTTATCCATCACCAGTTAAAATGTTTGGATTTCATTCATTGTAACGATATAATAATTAAAAAAAAGAATAATTTTAATTTTTTTATTTGACGTGGATAAAGTCTATTTTCTTATATCAATAAACTTATCTTTAGTTTTTGTTTTTAAATATTGGCATTTAATCTCTAATTTATTAATATATATTATATTAAAAAACTTATAAAATAAAGATTAAATCTACGTATACTTGAAAGTTTTAAAAAATATTTTTATTTATTTTTGTGTAAAAAAATGACATCAGAACATTCAACATATTCAATTAAAATATTTATTCTCATAATTGATGTAAGATCATTGGTGAGACTTATTGGTCCTTCCTTTTTTTTCTATATTTTTTTTCTGGTTTCTTTTAATTAACTTGATTTTGTTTTTCTAGGTTTTTGTTTTGTTTTTTTTTTAAGTTTGTCACTCCAATTATGGTCTTTGTCAAAATCAAATCATTATGCTAAAACTATCACTTACTAAAACTATCATTTAAATTTGAGTGACAATAAAATTACAATTTATTTTTTTAGAAACTCTATATACTATGTTGTAAGAAATAATATATAAATATTTACTTATTTAAATCTTTAAGATCATACCTCCTATTATAATATTATCAAATCTTTACTCATTATAAATCTTATTATTTTTAAGAATATTTTAGATTATTTTATCATATTTATTACTAGTTATAAGAAAATTAAAACAATAAATAATCAAATAAAAAATATAAACAAATAAAATAATAATAATATTGTGAAATTTTAAACTTATATTTTATTTTTTATTCATATTTTAAACCACTATAATAAAAATAAATTTTATTTCAAATTATGTTATGAAATTAATTTAAACTTAAAAATTTGGTTTAAAACTAGTGAAGTATTAAAATTAGTACAATTCAGTTTAAAATTAGTATAGTTAGTAATTCAGTCAGTTTATATTGTAGTTTAATATAATTTAGTATAGTTCAGTTCAGTCCAGTTTGATAAAATAAAAAACAGTTCAGTTCAGTTTGTCTGAACTGTTTTACAGTTCAGTTTAGACAAATTAGTTTTTAGTTCAATATAGTTTTTAGTAGTGCACTGCAGTTCAGTTCCATTTGTCCACCTCTAATAGGATGTAATTAAAAATTACAATCAAGTTAGAAAAAGAATGATTGTATAATCGAGAGATTAGTTAATGTTAAAATAGTTTGGAAGAAGTAAGAATAAATATAGAAAAATGTCAGTAAATAATAAGTAATTTCATAGAATGAATGTGTCTAATTTAAATAATATTGAGAATTTTCTATAGAGAAAATATAATATAAAAAATATCAAATAATTAATTGACAACACATATATTAACTTAAACGGTAGTTAATTTTTTTCTTAAAAAATTGTATTATTTTTTAAAGAAAAAAAATAAAATAAAAGTTGGTATCATTAAACTGCAAGAAGAAAAAAAAAAGTAAAAAAAAAAACATCTCCCTCACTGTTTATCTTTTCAACATCTTCTCCCGTCTTCTTCTGGTATGATTCATCTTCTTCGGGATTCATTTCTTTTGGGTTTATCTTCTTCCATCTTCTCCTTTCTCACTGATATATATATCAATTAACTACACCATATGGTTTACTGAAGGAACTATAGTTTATAGTCTATTCACACAATGCCATTTTTTCTGTTATTGTCAAAGAATAAGCTACGATTTCATAAAGAAATTCTCATTTTTGAAATTATTGTTACAGAATAAACTATAATTCACTAAAGGAGTTGTAACCTATAGTTATATGAATTGAGTTTTTTCTTTTTTTCTTTTTATTTTTTAAACCATCGTTGTCTTCCCTGCAGAACTCATTCTTTTCTTCCTTCGCCTGGAAAGACATAAGATTTTTCTTCTCCTTTTCTTCATTTTGGTTTAGAAGCATCTACAGTCAAGTTCGTGATGGTTTCTCTCATTATAATCTAAAATATTTGTTTTAAACTACAACTTGATATATTACGATTGTTAATCGTAACATCCAAAATAACCATTTCCTATTTTCTCAAACCCTACTTATTTGTTTTTTTTATGCTATTGATTAGGTTGTTTTTATTTTCTCTTTTTTTTATTCTATTCCATTACTTTTTAATAATAATAATAATAAAATATTTTTGTAATTTTAAATTACAACTTCAATTTCATTTTAACATAATTTTTATTATTTACATTTAAATTTATATCACATGATAATAATAATCGTCTAATTTTATTCTTTAAAATATTTTTTTAATTTATCATACACAAACTTTTATATTAAATCCATTAAATCACATCAATCTTACCATTGAGCCAAACAATCGGACATTCACCTATTTCCCTATCAAATATATCTTCAAACCCAAATACACTTGTATGGAAAACACTAAATTAAATATACATTCTCATAAGTATATCCTGTACAGTTGAAATCTACTTAAAGATTTGGAAGTCAACTAATAGGTTTTTAGACAATCTAGCACATTTAAAAGTGAATTAATGTCTTATTAAAATGGTCTTATTTTGAGAGTTATGTCTTCTACGTAGAGAGTTTCTTATAAGTGTGATATTGAAATTGTATTAAATAGACATTCTAAAACTCAATAGTGTAATAGAGACCGGATGATATTCTTGTAATATTCTAATGATCTATTTATGATACTTAAACCAAAACGTTAGTTTATCAAAATTTAATATTACTTATTATGATTAAAATGATAGAATATTTTATTTAGATTGTGTTGGTAGATGAAAACCAATTTGTCTTTAAGCAAAGTATTGATATTAATAATTTAATCAAATTATTAATAATTACATTTCTATTTTCAGCAAAAATTTAATCTCAATAACACATTTACACCTTCGTATTTAACCATCCATTCATCCATTCATCCATTCATCCATTTAGTCTTTTATTTTGAATGTGAAAAATTACCTTTGACCATATTTTCTTTGAAAGTGAAAAATTAATTAACACGATCCGTTCCGACAAATTGTTAGTAAAATAAAAATATTACATTTTAAATGAACATAATAGGGTGTAATAATTAAGAATTGGATCAACGAAGGAGAAAGTAGATAAAATTGGCCCTTACCCCTTCTGAGAAAAACAAAAAGCTGCCATGGACAACACAGCGAACGTCAAAGCTTCTTCTTTGAGATGGAAAATTCTTCGTCGCGCGCTTCTCTCACGCGCCACTCCACCAGACTCAGGTAATATCATTTTCGTAGGTATCCAATTTCCACCTTTTCGTTGCCAAAATGCTTCTTCTACTAATAAAAATTTTCGTTTTATTTGCAGAAGAACAATCTCAAATTATTATTAAGCGCATTTCGAGAAGGACCAGCCATGGATTCAACTTGATACCCTCACATGTAATCGACGACGAACGTCACCCGAACAAACGCGACGGTTCTTCCACCAGAGACGCTCGCGTTTGTTACACTTTACCTATCTCTGACGCTCCTCAACTTTTTCTGACGTCAGTTTTCTATTTTCCTTTTCCTTTTTGGTTTTCATTCTCTTGTTCATGTTCCAATTGGGAAAATTTTCTGTGTTGTTTTACTTAAAAACTGTAATGTTTGGTAAACTTTCGGCAGTTTCCGCTAATCAAATGCTTGTTTTCCATGCATTGCTTCAGAACCAATATATTAGCAACTAGGAAAAAAATAGTTTTCAGTAAGCAAGTTCTATGGAAACGGATCTACTTTGAATTGAATTGATTTTGGTTTTCCTATCGCCATACCTTACATGACAAATGTTAGCAAGACCTGTATTATGGACTGAAATTGGTTAGAAATCAGAAAATATTGTTGGAATCACTCCTTTTTTAGTGTGCGTAACTCATGATTTTGTCGTTTTGGATAAATTTCGACTAATAAAAGATGTGTTCGAAGGAGTGTGATAGAAAGTGTCTGCTAACTTACATATAGTATCAGTAGAAGTAAATGACAATCTCATTTCACGTGGATTTACGGCTTCAAAAACTTAGTCGCCTTTGATGATTGTGTTTGCATGGTTATCTATTTGTATTTTGTTTATGCAGACAAAGAGTGGACAGCCGTGCTGACCTTGATGATTTTGAAATATGCAACAGATACAACATTGACAATACTGGGCTTGTTTGTAAGTTTCTTCTATAATTCTCCTTACAACTCACAAGCTGTGCTTCTCAGGTTTGAGAGATTGATGGTATTTGTTTGTATAAAATTTTTTCATTTGTGTCAACTGAGATTTTGAGAATAATTCACAATCCTCTGTTGCCAGTGCCGAGAGCAATGTTTTGAATTCCTGTTGTTGCAATTTTGTTACAATTGTCATATAGTAGAAAATTATCGACAAA